TTCTTTTCCAGCAAATCTTTTCCCTTCCAAAAGCCTCCCACACCAAAAAGCCCAAAGTCAAAGCCAAAAGCCAAAAGCCAAAAGCAAAAACCCAAGACAAAAGGTAAAAGCCCTCTTCTTCCTTCAGGGGGTCTTTTATAAACAGTGGTAAATGGGGTGGAGCAGTGGCTCTCGGGGAGGGGTGTGACATTGTAACAAGAGAAACCTGTGTTCCTGCTTCTCTGAATGTAAACATCTTAGGAGATGCTTTTCCCTGTTTGTGACCAGGGCTGTGCCTATCTCAGCCTACAGGTAACAGCAATTAAGCTGCATCTCGCCTTGCTTATGTCCAGTTCTCACAGGTTTCTCATAATCCACTCTCCACAACTGTTAGACATTGCTTGGATTGTGAGCATCCCTTTCTCACTAATTTACTCATTCCATGACTTACACTGTAAAGTGGATGATATTAGCAAATGGTTAGAATCTCTTACTGGGACTAATCCCATCAGTCCTCACAATGGCCCTTGGTTATTATTTCTGCTCCTTACTTTGCAAATGAGAATACTACACAAAGAAGTTGTAACTGCCCAACCTGATATTCAAGGACCTTTACTGATGAGTTTCACTTCAACTTAGAGCTCTTTTCTAGGCTGTTATGTATTGCCTAAACCAGCCCTTCCTGTGTCTGGAGAGCCTTGTGCCCTACCCTCATCTCTGCCTGAGGATTTTTTCTATAACTTTTAGGGTCCAAAATTGAATAGCATGAATATAACACCTATCTATATACATGCACCCAAAGAATATATCCCAGAAAAAAATAAACCAAGATTTCATTGTCTATGGGAAGCAAGATTAAGGTGAATTTTAATATTCTTCATTACACAATACCTAAAGAGAACACGCTTGCTTTGGTAATGAGAAAAGTCTAAGCAGAAGTGGAATCACCTGGGAATTCTGAGACCGAAAGTCCTTCTTACCTGCTGTACAGGAGCTGGTGATGCTGAGTTGAAGTCCAGGGCCAAATAATCCAGGCTGAATTTCTTTGTCCAGGTAAGAGCACCACTGCTTAGGGAGTTGATTGTTCTGTGCTCCTCCTAGGAATCAACATTCATAGGTCTCTGGTTAATGATGTCTAACCATGCTGCCCCTGGGAAAGAGGGCACATTTAGCTTCATCTGAGCAGCTGCCATCAGATCATAAGACCGTAATCTGATGAGACGTGAGCATACCTGTTCACATATATGATTGAGAGCTGGCATTTCAAAAATAATACAGCTAGTTCAGCCTTCACCATGAAACTATATCATTACTAGAGATGGTTTGCCAAAATCATCCCCCAAAGTATTAATTTTGTGGATCTGACATGCCCATGATACTTCAGGGCTTAACTCTTGAGAACCTCAAATATACTTAGGAAAGGTATTCCCAGTGACCTGGCTGCTCCTCATCTCAGCTAATACTTTGTATTGTTGGGCCTTTCAACTCTTTTCCAACCTGTGATGGGTGAAGCAATACCTTTTTTGATTTTCCATTTTCCTTATTATTAACTACCTTGAGCACATTTTTATATGTTGAAGAGACATTTATTATTTTCTCCTCTGTGGAGTGCCTATTATGTTTCTGGCTTCATTTTGCTTGTTTTTGGCTCATTTTTGTAATGAAGTGTTTATACTTGTCTTAGTTTTCCTGAATACTTCCTCATGTATCTTGATGAGTAAATATGCATTGGTCACATAATTTTCAGACAGCCATTGCAGTCTATGGCTTGCCTTTTCATGCTATTTCTTAAATGAGGAGAGGTTCTTGCACTTGCATTTTCTTCAGAGACTCTCTGTGCTGAGGTCACGATTTATTTTCCCACATTGTCTCCTAAAATTATAAAGTTTTAACCTTCACATTAAGTAATAATCTCACTTAAATTGATTTCAATGTATGTTGATGAGATAGAGGTACACTTTGTTCCTTTCTAAATTTTAATATTTTTGAGACAGGGTCTCTGTATCTTAGGCTGACCTCCTACTTCAGTCTCCTGCATGCTGGGATTATAGGTGTGAGCCACCACACCTGGCTTTAACGTGTTCCTTTGTTGTTACTTCATGTTGAGAACTGTCCTTTCTCCAGTAATATAGCCTCTTTCCATCCACAGATCAAGATCCATTATTAGTTTGGGTGTGTTTCTGGGCTTTCTCTTCTATTCTGTTGGTATATAGGTCTACCCTTGTAGCAAGACTACTCTGTTGCCTATTGTTGGTGTTAACTAGTACAAAATATTTCATCTTCTTTGTTCTTCCTGAATCTCTTGGGTATTCTTAGCCCTTTGATCTTATATATACATTTTCAAATCAGCTATAAAGTTTCTCAAAAACTTTTATAATATATTTTGGTAAGATAATACATTTTGTTTTACATATTAACAACACTTTTTATTTATATATAGTTTTACAGTTTAAGAAAATATTCTATATTCTTTAAAAACATTTTATTAGCATATATTAGTTGTATGAGGGAATTCATTGTAATATTTTTGTACATGCTTACAATATACCTTAGGTAGATTTACCCCCTCTCTTATTCTCCCTCATCCCTCTTCCACCATACTTAAAGCAATTTCAGTGCTTTCATTGTTCTATTACATATAAGTATCCTAAGTACATTGACCATATTCATCCTCCTTTACTCATTCACCCTCCCCCTCCTAGTAGTAGTCCTGTCTAACAAGACCTGTTTTACAATTCTGTCCTTCATTTTAAAGTACATAGTCATTGATCACGATGATATTTTACCTGTGAATATGCTGTAATTTAATCAGATTAACCCGTTTTATTACTCTCCCTTCCCCTTTCCTGCCTACCCTCTATTACTCAACAGTTTTCATTGTTTTTCTTCCTACACAGATGAAATATATTTTGATATTGTTCATTCTCTATCCTCTTTTCCTCTCCTTCCTGCTCCTACTCCTATTGAACAGTTCCACTATTGCAAACATGGTTTTATATATACACACAGGTGTGTGTATGTGTGTGATCATGTTTGTATTTGTGTATACATTTATCTTTTGGATCTTCCACATATGAGAGAAAACATGTGGCCTTTGTCTTTCTGAACCTGGCTTACTTCACTTAACATGATGTCCTCTAATTCCATCCATTATATATATATATATATATATATATATACTACACTTTCTTAATCCATTCATCAGTTGTAGGGCATCTGGGCTTTCTCCATAGCTTGGCTATTGTTAATAGTGCTGCAATAAACATGGGTGTGCAAGTGTCTATATTGTATCCTGACTTACATTTCTTCAGATATATGCCCAGAAGAATTGCTGGATCATACAGTAGTTTTATGTTTAGTTTTTTGAGTAATTATTATACTGCTTTCTATACTGGTTGTACAATTTACTTCCCCACCAACTGTGTATGAGGGTTTATTTTTCCCTGCATCTTTGCCAGCATTTCTTATTGTTTGTGCTCCTGATGATATCCATTTTAACACAAGTGAAGTGGAATCTTAATGTGGCTTTAATTTTTATTTCCTTTATGTCCAGAGCTGGACAGATTCACTGCTGAACTCCAACAAACCTTTAAAGGACTAATACCAACGCTCCCCAAACTATAGAGAAGGGAAGAATGCTTCCAAACTGATTTTACAAAGATAATACTACCCTGGAATGAAAAGCTGATAAGGAGAGAACAAAAAAGAAAACCGTAGGCCAATATCCTTGATGAATATGATGCAAAAATCCTCAGCAAAATACTTGCAACCTATATCCAAGAACACATTGAAAAGAGCATACACCATGATTAAGATGGCTTCATTTCAGGGATGCAAGAATGCTTCAACATATGCAAATGAATGAACATTATACAGCACATAAATAGAATCAGGAATAAAAATCACATGATCATCTCAATAGATTCAGAAAAACATTTGACAAAATTCAACTTTCCTTAATGATAAGGGCTCTGAAAAAACAAGGTATAGAAGGATTTTACCAAACACATATGTTGGTGATAACAAATGATGCTGGATAAAGTGAATATCTCCATGTAGAAGAGTAAAACTAGCTGGATGCTGTGGCTCACACCTGTCATCCTAGTTAATTGGGAGGCTGAGATTGGGAGGATTGCAGTTGGAGGCCAGCCTGGGCAAAGAGTTCACAAAACTCCATCTCCAAAATAACCAGAGCAAAATGGACTGGAGGTGTAGCTCAAGTGATAGAGTGCCTGCTTTGCAAGTGCAAAGTTCTGAGTTCAAACCCCAGTCCCACCAGAAAAAAAGATTAAAACTAGATCCCTATGTCTCACACTGTTCAAAAACTCAACTCAAAATGCATCAAAGACTTTAATATAAGACTTGAAACAAACCATTAGGGGAAAACACCAAGATATTGACTCAGGCATGATGCATTAATGATTATAATAAAAATACCATTTAGAATAGCACCAGAATGTAAATATTTTTACTTAGGTAAAAATCTAATAAAACATATATAAGATCTATATGTTAGGCTAGACATAGTGATCATGTCCAGGCAGAGATCAGGAGGATCATGGTTCATGGCCACCCTTGGCCAAAAGTTAGCAAGACCCCCATCTCAACCAATAAA